GAGCGAACCAAGCAGACCCCTACCCAGTGATCTGGGAAAATTTCAGACCACCCCAGGTGCCTCTAAGAGGCAATACATCCCCTCTCACAAACACTGAGTCTGTGTAAAAAGGGGAAAGGAATCTGGCAGTAATCTGGGAAACCCCACAACCACAATTCGAAAGCATGTGACCCTGAGTAAGGCAAAGATATTTTTAATAAAAATCACGGCCAGTCGTGGGCAATAAACAACAATTCACGGAAGCCTGTGACCTGTCCTGACTTTCACTAAAACTATATTGACAAAACAGGGAGCCAGGTTCAGCTCAGTGCCCACTGCTGCTGGAGCTCCGGGATCCCCCACCACTGCTGCCCCACTTCGAAGTCCCCTGCTCCTCACGGCAGCTGAGCAGTTGTGGGGGATCCTACCCCCTGCGGCAGCAAGGAGCTCCAGTTCCCCATCACCTGCGGCAAGTGGGAGGTCTAGGGTCCCCCACTACCCACCAGGGGCTGGGCTGCCGCAGGGTCCCCTCACACTCCACAGTAGCTGAGAGCTCCAGGGGGATCCCCCCTCTTCCCACTGTGGCTGGGCAACTGCAGAGGGTCCCCCGCCACCAGCCACAGGGGAGCCAGTGACACTTGGTGGTGGAGACGGCCTTCCACATCCACGCCACCACGCCCCACGCTGCCGCCTTCCACAGCATCAAGAAGATAAGCAACGCGGCTGAGCCCCTCGGGGAGCAGCCAGGTAGAGCCCAGCGCAAGCATCCAGGGGGTGGCCCTGTGGCCTTCCTCCGCCATCAGGCTACGGAGCTCCCCGCCCCTGTTCAGTTCTAGGGTGGGGATTATTATGGGATAGATCTAATTGGAGGGGAAAGGCCTCATATTCGTGACCTCCATGTTATAATCATAGCCGTATCCATGAGCAAACTCCTACACCCCAGAATATATTGGGCAGTGTCATTTGCCTCAGTTTCTCCCCTTGTGGTGTGACTCACTCACTCACTCATGCCCGTCACCCTAATCAGGATATGGGCCGCCAACCACAGATCTCCAGAGTCCTCTATCCTGGGCCATTTGCTCTAACTGGCTTTGCCCTTTCCTTCCCCTGCACCCCACTCACAGTTGCTGTCCTTGGTCGGCGAAGGCCCAGAGTTCAGACCATTCATGTGAATTCAACTCTTGCCAGTGGGGTGGGAGGTGGGGAGATGGCATCAAGAAATGCCTCGGCCGCTGCTGCCACCACCATGTATACAACTGAGATCTGGTCTGACCTACAGACCTCTATCGGTATAACTACGTCCCTCAGTAAATCCACACACCCACACCCCCTGTTGGACATAGTTATACCAACCCGACCCCATGTGTAGACAGCGCTGTGTTGGCAGGAGAGCTTCTCCCATCGACACAGCTACCGCCTCTTGGGGAGGTGGATTAACTACACCGATGGGAGAAGCTCTCTCCCGTCAGCTTAGAGCGTCTCCATTAAACCACCACAGAGGCACAGGGTGCACTTGTGCCGATGCAGCGTGTTAAGTGTAGACGTGCTCTAAGGCTCAGTGTCTGGACCTTGTTCTCAGTGATTTCAGCTCCAGCGATCACTTAACAAAACAAGGACTCTCCAGTGTGTCTGATCAGCTCTGCCTTTACACAGTGGCGAGGGAGAGGGTGAAATGGCGTCTAGGACTCTTTAGGCAGAGCCCACACCCCCGGTACAGACATCTGCCCCCACCCTCTTTCTCTCTCACTGTCACGGGATTTGGCATCCCCACCCCCCTGCTTAGCGAGTGAGCGTCAGTCAGGGCAGGCTAAGCACAGTTCTGCTGCCCTTTCCTCACACAGTCAGGGTGACAACATGCCATTCCCCTGCACTCCCCACTAAAGTGATTTGTAACCCAACACCCGCCAAAACGGGTCACTTTGGCAAAGCAGTTCCCTCCGCTGAGTTCCTAGGCACAGTAGGTGCTTCCGGAAACACAGTCTGTTGCTGAATTTGTTCCCCCAGCTCATCACTCCATGTCAGAGGGGAGCTCAGTCCAATTCCACCTACACAGCAAGGAAGAACGTGGAGGGGAAGCGGAGCCTTGTATGTCACAAACACCTCCCTGCTCCCGCCCAGCTCCAGACACTGCAGCCTTCGCATGGGAAAGGAAGCTTCTGGTTCATTACAAACAGCTAATTGCAGCTCCTCAAGGTGGGGGAAGGGAGCAGGCTGTGTCTTTCCTGGGCGTGGGAACCCTGTTAGAACCACCACCAGCAGCTGGAATATTCCACAGAAAAATCAGGCGTAACCCCATTGAATTCAGTAGAGTTACTCCTGCCCTGCACCCGGGTAAATGAGAGCAGTAGCTGGCCCACCTCAGCACCACACTGGTGTCCCGCAGCTCTGACTCATCTCCCAAAGCCCTGGGAAGTGGCCAATCTCCAATCTTAAGGGTGGAGTCTCAGGGGAAGGAATAACCAACGTCCTGGTCAGGAACCCAGAGGGGCATCATCCCTAGGACATTACAAGGCCTGGTGGTTGAGGAGATACCA